TATGTGTGTGTGCCTTTGTGGCCAGGATAGTTCTAGTCATGGCCCATGGAGCAGCTCTGAGACTACATCTCTGCCTCGATTGATTTTTCCTCCTGACTGGTCAAGCTGGGTAAGGTTTGTGTGTGTATGAATGTATGGGTCTCAGGGTGCATCTTTGTGGTTATGTGTGTCCCTCTATGTGTATAGATGTGTCTGTATGTGTGACTGTGCATATATGTCTGTGTGTATGTGAGGGTTACATGGAAACCAAGAGTGGCTTGTGTGTGGGCTTAGGTCTATGTCTTGGGCCATGTAGGACATGGGGGGGGGGAGGCTCGGGTGGATGGGCCCTGCTGACCGGGAGAGTATTGTACAGTTGGTTCAGCATCTCTGTCAACTCCTTGGCTATTCTGGGGGACACTGTCTTTTCATGCCTGAGTTTTTCATCTGCAGATCTCCAGGTGACAATGTCACCACAAAACTCATGTACAGCTAAAATAAAAACTTCAATTTTAAATGAAATGGCTGCTCATATAGGAGACTGAGTTTATATATCAAGTTCTATCTTTAGCTACTCCAAGGATCTGCATAAATTCCAATTTTATTTATTTATTTTTTGGGTAGTGGGAACTCACAACCTCATGCTTACCAGGCAAGTGCTTGAGCCACTGAGCTTAATCCCTGGCCCTACATTCCAGTTTTAAAAGTAAGATTTCATGGCACTAAATATTGCATGAAATGAGTTGAGTTTACTAAGGATTTGGAAGTTTTGTCCCTTGGGAATTTTGGTTAAACTTCATTTCTGATATTAAACCTATATAACCTCTGTTTTAGGTCTCCAAGTTGTAACGTAATAATAATAAGAATTTTTTTTATAGCACAAAAAAGGCTTATGCCGTTGTTCTGAAAAATTTCTCGGTAGTGTACATTTCCCAGTAATCACATGGAGGCCTCGTAGCCTGAGATATGAGGCTTGAGTTTTACAAGTCTCTGTCCCTCCATGGGCAAGGACGGAGGCCTGAGCCTGACAGATGCCATCAACAAGGGGGCACCTTGCAGGTAGGGAGGGAGCTGGTGGATAGGGGCTTCCTACTGCCAGCCCTCCTCTGGGCATTAGGTGTGTGTCCCATAAGACACATGCATTTTCTATGCAGGTAATCTAAGTTTATGCCTCAAACATTTCCCTGGCTAGGGAGTGCACAGAGCAGCTCTGAGACTGTCAGCTTCCATTTCCCCTCTCTAAGATGTCAGCGTCCGGCCAGGCAGTGTGATGACTCAGGTGCATTGAGTGCTCAGGGAAGCATTGGTTCAGGCTGCTAGCTCACACCCCAGTTCCTCCACCTTGAACACACCTGCCCGGCTCCTCCGTGCTCAGGTTCCTCATCTGTGAAGTGGGGATGATGATATTTCCTCACTGAGGTGTGTGAATCCATGAGCTAGTATACCTTCAAGCCCTAGCATAGTTGACAGTAGGTTCTGGTTGCCCGGCTTCACTATTCTTGCATATTTTGCCTCTTTTATACCATTTCTAAATTATCTTTCCTTCAAAAAATTCCCTTTTGGACTCTTGTCTCAATCGATAGTGGCGTACAGTGGGAAAGGCTTTTATTATTTTTTTAACTTTGAAGGCACCCTCCTTCCTAGCCCTTCCATGTGTGCCAGACCCAAGGGAAAGCCCAGCTTAGTCCCAATGGCTTGGTGAGGAGCCCTCCTGGGGGGAGGGGGTGCCCGTAGACTTGTCTGCCTTTACTGTTCTTCAAGGCAATGTTGTCTGGCTCACGATCTGGACCTCCCCGCCTGCTGCATACATTACACCTAATGTATTCTCTTTTGAATATCATCATATTAAGTCTCCCAGTTGATACCTTGCTTGAAATAAATTTTATGGGCGCACATCCTCGCCCTCATCCCATGCATTTGTGGCTGGGAGAAGAAATAGAGCCTCATCCTTCCCCGAGCACAGGCCAAACAACAAGGAGGTGGGACTGCAGCCCTTGTTTACCCAGGGGCCAGGAACTTGTGGGAGGTGACCCACCTGTTTCTGCCTCTGCCTCCTGGGCCAGCCAGGGTGGCTCCACAGGTCCACAAAAGGGTAATTGGCCGACCCCAGGGCCACGTCTACCTCCTTTCTTTGCACAGAGAAGCCCCTGATGTGGCATTCAGCACCCATAAGAAGGCAGTGCCCGGCAGTGTCTAACTGTGGGTGCGCACAGCTACCTTTCTGGGTTCAAGTAGCACTTGGTGCTGCATGGTGACCTGTGTGTGACTGGCCTTGTTCACACATGCAGGCCAGCCTGGACCTTTTTGTCCGTTCCTTACCCCCTGATCTGGGAGCACCTCCTGACTAGGTCTGCTTGACCTCTCCTGAGGATAAAGCCAGGACAACCCCCCACTCCTCCTTCCTCGAGCAGTCCTTGTGCTCAGCAGCCTGCAGTGCTGCAGCTCCAACAGGAACCCATGCTTCCCTTTGGGGTGCTCTTGACCTGAGTTGTCCCTGCTGTCCCCTGCTGGAGACTGGACTTGTCCTGGAGCCTCCTCACTGTCTGTCTCAGGCAGTTTAAGTGCCACCAATCTATCCAGACCTTCCCTCCAGCTCCAGGGAGGCAGTCCCTAGCAGTTCCTGCAGAGAGGCCAGGGCTGTGGCTGCTGGAGGCAGATACACATATTCTTGTAAACCATTCTCTGAACCCCGCCTGGCTTTACTGGAAGAATTGAACTTAAGGCCTTTACACTGAGCTACATCCCCAGTCCATTTTGTTTTAGCTTTTATTTTGAGGCAGGGTTTTGCTAAGTTGTCTAGGTGGGATTTGAATTTGTGGTCCTATTACCTCAGCTTCCCAGAGTTCTGGGATTACAGGTATGCCTCACCAAGTGTGGGATGGGGATTCTTATGAAGGCTCAGTTGGATAAGGCCTGGGTATAGGAGTGCCTTTCACCCATCTTGCAGATATTCGTGTCTCCTAACCATAGGGAGCCTGTGTGGAGTATCTGCTGTATACTGGAGTTTACCAAGAATTTTTCATGTCTTGGTTCATTTGCTCTTTACTGTATACCTATGAGCCAAGATTAGCATCTTCATCTTTTTGCAAGTGAGCAGCTAAAAGGGAAATAAGCCAAATGACTTGCCCAAAATGAAAAAGCAGAGCCAGAATTCAGACCCAGGCAGTCCGCCCTTCCTACCCTCTTTTTAAATGAACATTCTTGTGACCTCCATGAACTTAGCATTTTGCTGGACACCTCATAACTTGAGAAATACTGATTAGTTGAAAAATTTCTTTCTCAAGGAAACCTCTTGAAATAGAAAAGAATTCCCATGTGAGTGGGGACAGTCAGCCAGTGTCCAGGCTTGCATGTATCTGCTTTAGTGTGACTTGTAGTGTAGTCCTGGGAAAAGGGTGTGAGACCAGGCAGTGGCTCCTGGGTCCAACTTCCAGGCAGTGCTGGTGGTGCTGAGCCGGGTCTCAGCAGGGTCAAAGGTGAGCACTTGTGTCTATTGGGCTATTGATAATGTTTAGTAAGCAGCCCCATAGCCTATTTGTAAGTTTAAATTCAAGTGAGAACATTTTTTTCTCTATAGATTTTGATGTGTTTGTTTCCCTAGAGCTTTGAGGATAATTATGTCATGCTAACATTTTAGGACTGATATGCCAGCCAGAAACACAATATAAATGGAGAAATGTGTGATTCCTGGGAGATTAGGTTTTAGTACTTTTGTTGATGTGTGAGTAGGAGAAACTGTTTTTAAGTGAGCTTCTTAGTGAGGACTCAGTCAGCTGTTATCCACTGATTAACATCCTCTGAGTTACCCTTGCATGTCAGGTGAGGAGGAAATGTCGCTCCTGCTCCGTAGGACCCTCTCTTAGTGGGAATGATGCAGACGGACAGCTGGCAGAAGTACTCCATTGTGGTGGTGGTACTGGGGGTTGGATCTCGGGTCTTCACACTGAGCTACATCCCCGGCCCTTTTTTATTTATTTTGAGGCTGAGAGTTGCTAGGTCACTAGATTTTCCAGGCTGATGTGGAACTCAAGATCCTCTTGCCTCAGTCTCCCAGACACTGTTTAGTACAGAGGCTGTGTTAGAGGGTATGATAGGAGGCCTACTGTTTGCACTTTGACGATTTTGGGCTTAGTATTTATTACCTCCCACTTGGTGGTGGTGGGGAACAGGGAAGAATGGCTAGCAGCTCTGTTATTATTCACCAATCATAGAAAGCTGACTGTTTTGTAGATTTTGAATCTTTCAATGACCAAAGAATCTGCTTTCACTATTGAAGTGGAGAATGATCCATTATCAGGTACAGTGTTAAGTAACTTTTACATCAACAGAGCTAAGTCAGGATGAGGCTTTATCCTGCTTCTGCCATGATCTAAACCAGCACAAAAAGGACCCGCTCTTCCTTTAGCCTGCTTGCCTTGATTGCAGGGCTTCCTAAGAGCATCACATTTAGGACCTGAACTACAAGGGAATCTGGGAAATCAACATCTAACTTTCTTGTCTGTGGTCCAAAAGGAATATCAAGAAAGATTTATTTTTCGTTTTGTTTTTTGAGATAGGGTTTCATCATGTGGTTCAGGCTGGCCTTGATGTCACTATGTAGCCTAGGTTGGCCTCAAACTCTTGGTGATCCTGCTGCCTCAGCCTGCTGAGCACTGGGATCACAGGCGTGTGCTTACCCACCCAGCTGAGGAAGGATTATTGAAGGAGCCAGTCCATGCTACCTGTTGACATTCAAGGAAATACTGAGATCCCTCTTCAGGAGCACCCTCAGCCTTGGACCTTGGTCTCCAGCCATTTCTCTCCCCAAATTATTCACTTTTCAGGCCAGATGTCTTCTCCATCTGTGGCTAGGCAGTTCACTTGGGGCTGACATATTTGTACAGTTTCTACTCAGTCCTGAAAATGCAGAGCCCTGGGGATTGGGTCATGCTTGTTCCCACTACAGGGAAGGCGGGTCCCGAGCCTGGTCTGGTTAGCAGGCTGTGCAGGGGGCTCACACTGCCTCTCTCCTCTCCCCACAGAGATCCCCCAGTGCGCTGGTTGCAACCAGCATATCCTGGACAAGTTCATCCTGAAGGTGCTGGACAGACACTGGCACAGCTCCTGCCTCAAGTGTGCAGACTGCCAGATGCAGCTGGCCGACAGGTGCTTCTCCAGGGCAGGGAGCGTCTACTGCAAGGAGGACTTCTTCAAGTGAGTGGGGATGGGCGCTGGGCCCCTCTAGGGGGTGGGGTGAACCCTGGCGGTAAAAGGATGCTTTGCACTGAGGTCCCTTCCTGAGCTCTGCAGGGGACATGGGATGGGGAGTGGCAAAAGGTGAGTACCAAGCTTGCTAGGGCAGCTTACCGAGGGCTTCTCCCAGAATTGCTTTCTTTTTTTCTTTTCTTTTTGAACTGGGAATTGAACTCAGGACCATGCCATTGGGCTATATCCCCAGCCCTAGAATTGCTCTTTCTGCTTGATGAATTGGAGTCTCGGGGTCCTCCAGAGACTTTCACAGCAGTGCTTTAAGTTCATCTCTCACCCCTCGGGGAGCCTCCACAGCTATGTTCTCAGGACTGCTTCGAGGGCCCAGAGACCTGGGAGAGTTCCTGGTAGCAGTCAAACCTGGCCCACTATGTAACATTCCTTTACACGGAAACAGCATGAAGATGCCTTTTTGTGTGATGATTTAGAGCCCCCTGGATGTAAATCCACTGTTTGGCTGTGTGCTCTTGGTGATTACTTAACTTTTCTGTGCTTCCATTTGTCTATCTTTAAAATGGGCCTCTTAATCATAGTCCTCACCTAATAGAGTTGTTATGAGCTTGGACTACTAGGTCAGCTTGTATAATGTTCTTAGGCAAGTATCTGTCACCTAAGTACTGTCTCTTAGGATGGTCCTGGGCTTTGGGGTCAGTGTAAGGGGACCTCCTAGAATTTCTTGCCTGCACCACTTAGTTTGGGCTTCTCTCCTAGGATGTTATGGAGGCCAGTGCCTTAGCCAGCACAGAGCAGCTGGCCACAGCTAAGCCAAGAGTGTGGGGCAAGTGGGGAGTCCCAGTCAGTGGCATTGTGCCCGGTCACACCAGCCCTGTGGCCCAGGGGAGTGGGTGGGGAGCTCACCAAGGCCTGAAGCATTCAGTGAAGTGGGCAGGCCTGAAGAGGTGCCGCCTCCCACCCCTTGATGTGCTTGGGGCTGGGGAGGAGGATGCTGAGAAGCCAGGGTCAACATACAGGACACGGTTTCTCTCGCCCTTCCCAAAGGATCAGCAGCAGGGAGTATGCGATGTCAGTTTCTGAGAATTCTCAAACTTCTTCCGCGGGATGTGAGTTGAAGAGCTTGTTGTAGAAGAACCTGGTGACCACAGAGGCCACCCCCAGCTGTGTTCAGAAGATTGTGCTCCATGTTATTGTTACACTTTGCTCAATTACGTACACCTCTCTCCTTGTGTATGCGTGTGTGTTCATGTGTATGTGCGTGTGTGCATGCGTGTGTGCATGTGTGTACGTTCATGTCTGTGCATGTGTGCTCTACTGGAGGGCAGGGCAGTAGCTAACCGGGGCACACCCAGCAAGTCCAGGATGGTTCAAATGATGGGGTGGAACCTGACTCTCCTGAGCTTTCTGTGTTCTGCTCCCCATTCTCTAAATCTTCCTTTTGCTTTCTCCACCTCTGACTCTCACCCTTCCTTTCATGCACATCTTTTCTCGGTGGGTGACAAGAGTTTGCTTCTAGCTTACTGTGCCACCCACTGCCAAGCACCATGGCAGCCCTTACAGGCCCCCACATGGGGTAACTTCCACAGGGACATACATGTGCACCTAAGTAGGACAGGGGTTGGGATACTTGCTTCTGTTGTCAGGGCACCGTCCTCCAGTGTGTCCCTGTCCCTTCACAGAGCTCCAGTACTGAGGTAAGAGGCCACATTTTCTTGCCTGTCTAGGGACATTTGTAGGGTAGGCCTTGAGATGTTCCTGGGTCAGCTGCCATTGCCCACAGGGATTCTGGCTGGTCCAGTCTGGGAGGACAGGGCAGCCCATGGAGTACAGGGAGAGCTCTGAGTGTCCCTACCAGAGAGTGTCCTAGAGTCCTCAGCATGATCTCAGGGCTCTGCCTGGTTTCTAGACCCTGCTGTTTGCTTTGATTTTAGGAAAGGATGAGGTGGAGAGGGAGTGGCAGTTGTGCAGGGATAGGGCTGGGTGTGGGAGCAGTAGTGATAAGAATTGGGGGGGGGTCTCTCTAGACCCAGGAGGGTCCCAGAATGTGGGCAGAGGAGGGAAATAGCATTGGGACTGGGAATGACACTGAGAGTCCCTCTAACAGTTTGGCTCCCTGACACCTGCCCCCTAGGCCTCCCCACATCATGGTCCCCATACGGACATGGTGGCCCTTGTATGGATCCTTCCCAGGCCTCGCTCAGCAGCAGCCCACTGGCTAGTCCCCTTGCTGACTTCCTGGAGGCCCACAAGCCTTGACACCAGCTGAGCCATCCCACCTCACTGCTCAGGCCCTGACCCTCACCCCAGCTCCCTCCTGGGGTTCCTTGGCCTGCAGACGATTCTGATTGCATTAGCGCCACCATGAGCTCCTGCCCCATGCTTCCTCCCAGGCTTCCATGATCGCTGTTTTCCTTGGTGCCTGTCTCAGCAATGAGGAAAGGAACTAAGACAGAATTGGGCTGCGCCGACTCACTAATCACATGTCCTTAATTTAATTCCAGCACCACACACTGTAGATTCAGCCACCTCTGAAAGAGTCCTGTGACTACATGAGGCTTTGCGAGGGACGTCCATCCCAAACCATACTAGTGCCCCTGCCCCAGTGCCTTGCTCTTCTTGTCCTCAGTCCCTAGCCCTGGCTCTTCCCCCTCTGGAGACAGATGTACTTACTTTCCCCAGGACTGCCCATCCTTCCATGGCTGCTCAGAGCCTGGCTTCTTTACCTCCTCTGTGTTCTCTCCTGGGTGACCCAGTATGAGCTACTGTGGCTCTTTCCTCGTGCATCTGTATTATCTGTTGGCTGGAGAAAATGGCCTGCACACTATTCATTTTTCTGTCCCCTGCCTGAGCACCTGGCCCTGTAAGTCAGTGTTGGTGAGTAGGGAGCTGTCCACAGCTCTGGTGCTGAATCCATTGGCTCTGCACTGTGCGCTATGTGGAAGGATGAGGGTCAGATGCCTGAGGCGATTTTGTTGCCTGCCAATGGAAGCCCAATCCATTGGTGAAGACAACGAGGTCTCCAGGGAGGGCTTTTGGGTTTACAGTCCCACTCAGCTCTTTGGACTTTGGCTGTTTGGTACGGGAATCCCCACTGCGTCCTGTCCTAGGTAAGGGCAGAGAGAGAGCAAGTTGTTCAGGGTTGATGTGGCTTCACCTCCTATCTCCAGGGATTTTAGGACCTGCTGCCCATTTGGAACATCCCGGTGCCCCTATGGTTAACTGAATGTCACCTTGCAACTGCTTTCAGACAGCACACTTGTAGAGGGGGTGCAGAGAGAACGTGAGGAGGGCTGGAGGGCAGGGAGTGTTGGGAACCCCTTTGCACTGGACTGCAGAAATCACAACTGCGGCAACCCTGAGAGAGACCGGGTGCCATGCACTTGAATTTGAATCAGACCTCAGGATGCTCTCGGCCTTGGGTTTTGGAAGACATAGGTCAGAGCCTGGAGAATCCTTTCTCCATTCTCTTTGAAGAAATAGGAAAAAGAAAATGACGCTATGTGTCAGCTGCCACATAGCTCGGTTCAAAAGCAGTGCAGGACTTCCTGGGCACTGTGCGTCTAAGTCCCTGGATCAACGTAATCCATGACATGGGGCAGGGCCACTGCTTTGCACAACCCCCGGGCATCTTCCATTTGAATTCTCTGTTTTACTCGTTAAGATGGTGGTGTGAAGAGCGCCCCCTGGAGGTGTGTAACATTTCCAATTGGGAGAGGTTGAGGGAGCCAGGAGTGAGGACTTCACCTTCAGCAGAGAGCCGTGGTAATACTGAGGATAGACAGCAGAGGGCAGTGTTGGTACATACCCAAACAAAGAAAGAAGTATTGCCTGGAGGTTGTACTCTGTGGTTGTTGTATTTGTCTTTGAGGCCTGTTGAATTTTGCCTTGCTCAGCAATTGACCGAGTTTTGCTGTTATTTGTTGGTTTTGCTTCCTGGGTTCTTGGCTTCCTTTTTCCAAATGAAAAAAAATTCTGAGGCTCAGAAGGAGAGGTAGTATGTGGATTAACACAGTATGATGGGGCTGATTTGTTCAGGGTCTAGTGGGGACATCAGGAGAGCTCATCCTTCTGCAAGCAATGTTCCAAGGCCTGTTACAATTTGAAACTGAGCTGAGGGGCCAACAGATGCTTCATTTCTAGACCATGTGTCCAGCATGTTGTGGGCCTCATTTCTCCTGGCAAAGAGGGTGAGGCCTGAGGAGAGCAGGGTTTTGGAAGCAAGGCGTCAGGGTCTCCTCCTCCTCACCAGCTAGGTCCTCTGAGGAACTTGGCAGCTCCCTAACTCCTTATCCTGTGCAGTCCAGACAGGGGTTCCCTGCTCAGGAGCTGGGTTCAAGTGCTGGTTCATCAGTGGCTAGCTGGGTGCCTGTCTTTAGGTAAGTTCATCAGTATTTCTGAGCTTCAGTGTCATCTTCAGGAAAAATAGGAATTCTAACAGTAGCTGCTTCAGAGGAAACCTGGCACACAGGACCACTTTACAAAATAGAGTTGGTATCAGCAGAGTGAATTGGTGAACCCAAGTGGAGCTTCTTGAATTCCTATTTTGTCTGGGATCAGCTGCTCATCAGCAGACAAGCAAGCAGCCAGGCCTGCCCCGTGTGAAGAGGAGCACGTGCTGGCCTATAGTGTGAGGAGGGATGTAGCGTGGAACATGTCAGCACAAGCGTGGTGGAGTCATGTGGCTGTGTCTGTGTATCTGTCCCAGTGACGGCCATGGCCGGCTCCCTGGAGGAAGAGGCTGTCAGCCAGTCCCTCAGGGCTAGGCCTGTCCTGGTCTCTAAACTCCATACCCCATTTGAAAGCTTCCTTGTGGAGGTGGCCCCTGACACCTAGAGTTCCTCAGATGGAGTGGGGGTGGCCTGGCAAATGAGTAGGGCATGTGGAAGGGTGGCAGAGGCTACATGCCACAGGACAGACAAGCCATGTTGATTTATGTGAAAATTTGGGAAATGAACCCCAGTTTACTATGGTACAACAAATATACTATAGTC